GTGAACGCTGCTCGCACCTTGATTGTTAGCGCATTAGTTTTATCTGTTACAGTGCAGTCACAGCTTATGCAGTTGCAAGGATACCGGAGCCGACCAACAAACCCAAGCTCTTCATTCTGAACTTTCAGAGTAGCACAAGGGGACGGGTAATTTTGACGTAAGACTTTGCATTTTGAAGGTGCAAAGTGCATGCCTAGACGTGAGACTGGTTCCGATATTCTAGTTTAAGTACTTTGCACCGACCGTGTTGTCCGTACACTCCAATTCCGTTAACTTTCTTCAAACTTGATTGCTGTGTCTGAATTCACAGTCCCTTGAAGTGTGCATCCATGCTGATATCACTGAAAAAACTGTACAAGAAGGAAGAGGAGATAAGCCGGACGAAATCCAGGAATTGTCAGGAAACTTTTCGATATTTCATGGTACACCCTAACCCGACCGAAGTTATAACAATAAAGGGCACGAAGAAATTTTACGAACTTCAGGGGCATCTCTCCCTGATCAAAAGAATATTAAGGAGAGCGTATCCATAGATATTTTCGAAGGCTACTTTAAAGTCGAGGAAGACCACGATTGTTTGTCGGTGGTCTAAGTGGCCCTGATCAAGCACGTGACGTTATGTAAAGATATGAACGGTACACTCTATTCCAGGCCAAAATCCTAGTTGGTACCCTTGGAATTTCGTCTCATGATACAAGGGAAGCCAGCAGCCGTGTTATTACTACGAGACTTATACCCCTATGGTTAGAGCAGTCGGTTTGTGCACCTTTTCTGGACACAGGCACGCCCAAAGAATGCGCCAAACGCCCTGGGACAACTACCTGTTCCCAGATAATTGCAAACAACCTATTCAAAGCAGAACACAAAGATTCTGTCTCATCTTGGAACGGTGCTAGAGGAAGCGCGTCTGGTCCAGTAACCCGACTTCAAGGCATGTTAATACTTCATCAAATGTGGGGTATCGAAACTACACTCACAGACGGTGACTCAAACTAAGCTTGTCGAATGAAAGATAGGTGCAGTGGCCGAAGACCAACTAAATTGCTGTAAAAGATTCTTCCCAGTGATCTAGACATAGGGGGCTAGATGGCTCTGTGATTAGAGCGCGAATTTACTGACCGAAAGTTCCATGGGTCTAACCCGACCTCTGCTTCTCAACTTCTCCTTTCTAGGCTTGGGCAACCTGGCAGTATCCCAGCCCTCGTGCTCCCTTCTGGCGACATGGCAGCTAGGCGCCGAAAGGGTGCTACAGCTGAATGATGATCTACACATCGGTCTTTTAGGCCCTTTTTTCTAATCAGCTGGAACAGCTTCTGTGCACTCCCAGCTGTATTGACCTCTTCCATTTCTTGGACTCTTTGGTCCTACAATGTTTACGCAGGCTACGTTCGAGTTGTCCAATCGTTCGTCTAACAGAAATATTGTATGGAATGTGCCAGTACTTTCTGCACATTGCATTGTAAAAGCATGATCAGGTCAAACAAATACCGCTTATCTTGTTGGTTTTGTATCCAGAGAGCTGTGTCCGTCGGTTGATCAATGAAAAAGATCCGATTAGTAGTCTATTCTGCAGAGATGACTCAGTGGTTAGAGTGCGAATCTACTGACCGGAAGGCCCATGATTCGAACCACCTTCTCTCTCCCTATCTAGACCTGAGCAACCTAGCAGTATCCCACCACACGTGCTTCCTTTGGGTGGCATGGCAGTTGGGCTCCAAAAGGGTTCTGCAGATGAGCGATTTTTTCTATTCTCCAGTCTACGGCTCTTATCATGTTGCTTGTTGATTCCTCTCTGGCGCTGTGCATGCTACACTAAGAGAGTAAAAGTAAAACAAATTTGGTTGGTCTGTATGGGTTGAATAAAACCGGCCTCTACCATCTTTGTCAAACAGAATTAAAGATCAAGAGCGGCACATTGTTTTGATCTACAAGACAGTGAATTAGATGAGATTAGTCCTGCACGGCAGATCTGATGCGTCTGACGAAAACTTGGCTAGTAGATGATGTTGTTGATTCGGAAATCGCTCTGGTTGACTCCCACTGTTATAGCTACGGTCGGAAAGGAGTGCCGAAATTCTGTTGCATATTGGTACTTCACTTCAGAACATATTTCGCACCGAAACCATGCCAGACGTTGTTGCTGAAATGGTAGACAAACTAAGACCTCACCGGAGGACCAACTTTGTGTTCTGCGTTTTCTACTCCAGCCTCCGGAATGGGTACATGGCTTAGACCATTATGTTTAAGAAACTCATCAGCTGTACCATGTCATAATGGACGTTTTCGTTATGCGCACTATTCAGTGGGGTCAACTGAGTGGTATACCATACCTGACCAGCGGGGAAATCGTGTTCCTTTAAGTGGGAGAATTCAGGGGTGTGCAGCCTGCTGACCGGTCCATTTTGATGGTACTGGTCCGGTGGTCTTCTTCCCTAAATCTCTTTTCTACGGATTCGCACGAGAACCCTATGTATATCGAAGTCTTTGGCATCATTCGCACACCCGAGGCTGGTTGTCCCACTGCATATAGCTGTTCGCCCAAAGATTTTTGACGCCACTGATTGTTTGCCTTCTTCAAATGTTACACAAAATTTTGACCCATGAGTCCGACCGGGTAAACGTTATACTCCGTCAGGTACAAGAAAACTTCATCTGTAGTACTATTTTGGTGCTTAACTACCATGCCATCCGAAGGAAGCACGAGGACTGGGATACTGCCAGGTTGTCCAAGCCTAGACAAGTGCAGTGAGGATGCGGGGATTGGATTCGAACTACGGATCTTCCAGTCAGTAAGTTCGCGCGTTAACTACTGAAGCATCTCGAGCTCTGGTGAGGATAGGCGAAAAATTCTGAAATGATTGTAGTACTCGCAGAGCACATTGTCTGATCGAGGTCATTTTGTACTCGTGGTCCCGAAACCCCCCCACGTGCCACGCTGTTGGATAAAGACAAAGTCACTAGCCTTTTTGCCTCGGTCATGGAGGATTCCGTCCAATGGAATGAAGCAAACATAGTGTTTTTATGAAGGAATCTACTCACAAGGTTGCTGAAAACTCTTCGATAGCCCACGATCGGTTTCGCCCTTTTTGGGCCTCATTAGGCAGGCTCAGTCCCTGAGTTTCCGTGAACTTTATGTTCTACTTGAATCCAAATTGGACTGATTTCGACAAATGCACTCACACATTTTAAAACGAGAGATTCGCTTGAGTCTCCCATGAAAACCAGATTGATTTGCAAATGAGTATATTTGTCGAACGTTGTGTACTTTTTCAAAAGGTTGTTGATTGGGCTCCTGCTGTACTATGGCCTGTAGCGTCACTTATTCTGCGTCGCTCTGTGATGGCATGCAAGACTTTGCTTCATTTAGTGGGATTCCCACCTGACCATACATTGATGCTTCAGCCTCCTGTCCTTGGTCAGAGCAAAAATTAAATACAAACCTGCCCGCTGAGCCCTAAGAAGTGTGGAACAGATCGCGGGCTTTCGAGGGGTTTTCCGCAACCTTACTGGTGGTGTGTCCCATCAAGTGCAAGCCTTGGATAGGTTGACTATTCTATCTTATCCTTCGGCATGCAGTCCACGTCTACAAATTATGACATCATGCCACTGCACGTGTGGTTATTGAACATGCATTTTAGTGGAGAGTGGGACGTAAGGTTGCGGAGCATTTTACTTGACATGGACGCTACCGTACCAGATGTGTCAGTTAATGTAATTTTAAGGGTCTCTTGACGTTCTTTGGTTTGTCCCACCTATAGTGACAAAACGGCATAAAATTGAGCTCCAAGAGTGGCGTGTTTCAGACTGTTTTGTTGTCTGTGAGATAACAGTGTCCTCCGAAATCGGCGGATATGAGACGTCTTTGTGCCTTTGGCGAGTGATATCTCAGAACGCTTGCAAAGGTCCGCAACGAAAAAAGACGCTCGGTTATTCCACCTGGATTTCAGTTGAAATGCTGTGATAAGCTGTGGTCACCAAGTGAGTTGCGCATGGAAAGCCGCAGTCCACTGAAAATCGCTTTTTTCTTGTTTGGTTCAGAGCGGTTTGAACGAAGAGGAGCTCTTCCAGGGTGAGTTCTCAGGTCAATCTACCTGGTTTCCTGAAGGTCCTGTGATGTGTGCCAACAGCTTATTTTCGACTTCGATCGAGTGTTTTGCGGAGCGAATTAATCCATGGAGCTACTTCCAAGAGGCTATATTGCTTCCACCTGGGGGGTTCGCTATTTTCTCCTTGCGGAGGTTTTCTCATCTAGATGAGCGAGCCAAAAAAGTCGTCCAGTTCTGACACGAGATAAGCAGTCCACTGGTTGTCCATTTCCAGGAAGGAGCTGGCTAAACCTGATCCTCAATCATCAGTAACAAGTATTCCGATCTGAATTCACTGGATGATATCGTCTGGATCAAGTACTTCAAAATCTTCGTTCGGTTACCTTTCAGATTTCAGTTTCCTTTACGAAGGATATAGGTGAGCCAGTGAATCACTGGAGATGGCTTTTGCCAAGTAGTCGCACGTTATTCCATAGACGTCCCAACATTGCACTTCTTTTCAACCACCGGTGTACCCACAGAGCTCCTTATTGTGTTATCCCGGCGGCAAATGTGACCAATAGGCGAGCAAGGACCCTAAAGATCGAAGCTGTACTGCAAGTTGGAACGTCCGTACTGGCCTTGATATCGGCAGCCAAGGTTTTTGCTACTCAATGCTTTATGATTCTTTTAAACAGGGCCAGAGTTCCGAGCATGGAGATTCTATTGCCGGATTCCTTGGAAAAGCCTTTGTCCTGAGCATTTATGCCGATAGAGCTCATCATTTTGGGGTCAACGTCCTCGTTGCTTGAGACACTTAGATTCAAAGGCTCACCGGTTAATGATACGGTAATCGGCCTCTGACAACTTTGCAAAATATAACTTATAGGAACCACAGGAAGAATCTGCCAGTGGAACTCTGTGTCTCAACCCTTCGCTGATTGATATGAAGTATCATGGGATTTGGTGGATCTTGAAATGAGAAGTTCAGATGCACGCAGCGCGAACAAAAAGTATCTTAGGTGTATTTATGAAATACGGATCGAGCAAGTCTCACTGGAGGAATTTTGTGTCTGGTTTGCTTTAATGCGTATCCTATACTATGTTCATGCTCTTTAAACTTGACATTGAGCGGGACCCAACTACTTAAGGTGCTTAAACTAAGAAATTGCAGCTCAGTACTGTTTTCTCTTCAAAATATACACAATTTTTGTATACTTTTTTACTAATGATATGCCCGCTTATTTTCAGTCCATTTTAGGCTGGTGGTCTGGCATGGAAAGTCCGGATGTTGCTACTCCTGTAAAGCTTCATGTAAATGGGGACGACATTGGTGTCACCACACCTTCTGGTGGTTTGATTTTCAATCCATTTCACAGAGAATTTCTCAGCCGAGTGGGACAAATGACATTTAGCCCCGGAGTGTTTGCTTACAATCAAAGCCCGATTACGAAAGATGGTTCACGAAGGAGTCTACCATTTATGTTGTCCCCGGACACACAAGGATTACTTTTTCCAGCTGAAATTGACGAGAACCCGGTCCTACAGCAGAAACTTCAGGAGCAATTGGACACCCAGGTTAAATTGTCCATACGCTTTGCTATTCTGATGAGATTTGTCTTGTATATTGTTTCATGCTTTGCTTATTGGGATTCATTTCATTTCGATGAACTGCTATTTGACAACAGTCCCCGTAGGGATAACTAAGAATCGGAGACCCTCCGTAAAGGTGAGGAAGACAATAAGATGTTGGATAAAAGAACCCTCAGACATTTGGGATACATGAATCGAGAAGGCTGGAACAGGTACTAATTAATCCGTGAATTGCGCAACTGTTGACCACAGAAAATTGGCGAAGTTTAGCGAGTAGTTTTTTATTGATTATTTCCATGCGGTATCGGAGAATTCGGGCCTGATATGAATTACCGGAGTGGTAGAGGGAGCTAGAACTGGGGAAATGATTTTGGAATTTGAACGGATGAGGCGATTTTGCAACAACGTTCGCCGTTTCATTCGTGTTAGAATAAAGAAAAAAAGCTATCTTCTGACTTCAGCGAAGTACTTGAAAGTGACAGGTCAATGAACGGGAAGTAATAAGGCGCATAAGTTAAGTTCAGGTAGATGAAAGTTATAGGAATTGCACTTAGGATTGTGCTGGAAGCAGTAGGGAGGGGAGAAATGGGAGCGTGTTTGGTCAGACAAACCCCACTGGAGAATGTGCAGCAAGTCGGTGTTTAATATTCTGACGGTTCGCATGCGCTGACCATAAGTCTGAATGGGGACAGACCATCAGGAACAATGGGGAGAGCAGCATCGCTTGAAAAGGTTTGGATTCAACGGACGAGAATAAGTGATTTAGGAATCGAAAGAAAGGTTCGGGAGGTTAATTGGAGCCCTAGGAGACTCCTGAGTTGATGCCATGAAACCGATAAACAATAACGTCAGTGAAATGGGCTCTTCAGAGCGTGTACCATCATTTAGGTTGTGAAAAGGCGGACGCAGTTGGCGCCAGGCGCGCAGTTTCGTGACAGAAACTTATGATACGATATTGCCCTTTGGAAGAGGGTGTCTCACGTCCTCTTAGTACAGAAATCTTTTTCTGCTACGTTCCCACATCCATCTTCTCTATGTCTTCACCGGGGCGTTTTTACATGGCTGTATGAAGCTCAGTTTACCTGACACGTTCGTATATTTCATGGTCTGGACTCACACTGAGTGTCTGCTAGCACTATACAAACCTGGCTGAAATTTTTAATAATAACCGTTTTGTTGCTGGATTCTCGTGTTTTTCCCTACTCACATGTGGCTTAAAGGTTTTTCTCTCGACTTTGTCGAAATAACCCAAAATCCATGAATTCTTGGTTATGGACTACTTTACATAAGATTGATACATTCTAGAAAATAATGTACAGCGCTGAATGGGCTGCAGCTAGTCATGTTGGAATGGGAAATCTTGCCGCTGTTGTAAGGACGGTATCTCGCTCCTTATGATGTGGTGCAGACTTACCTCAGTATTTACTACTCAAATGCTGCTGTAGATGTTGGTGTTAACTAGCTTCACATGTTTTGCAGTAAGGAAAAAATTACACGTTAGAGGCAAAGTTGTATGAGATAACCACGAGTTTTCAGTGTCCCGTGCACAAATTATGCTCCAGCACAATCGGTAGGCACTCCGGCAATGGGTTGCACTAGTTGTTCCATTATCGGAGCATACTTCTTTTAAATATTTTGATAATGAACCCATCATTTACTTTTTCAGTGTGACGACAATGTTCAAGACACGATTCATAGCTTCTTTAAAACCCACTTGATTGCTCCAAGTCCCGATACAGCTGACCAGATAAGCATGGAGCGTAAGTCGTGTCTTTTTTTGGGTTCGCACGTTTCTTTTGATTAGGTGGTGGCTCAGTTATGTATCTTAGTATTTTTCAGTTTACCCTACTATTAATCCGTTCATCCTCTCTTCGTGGTTGTGTAAGTGTGATATCTGCGATTCGCTGCTTCAAACCTACACTTCACATAGACCAGACATTTGTTTTTGTAAAAACCCGCCCCATTCCTATCTCCAATTCATAAACAGCTGCACCTTCGCTATTCAGCTGGTCGAGTTATGAATTAAGGGAAGCCAGAAGTTATCAGCCAATTTCGGATAGAACTGTTTGCTTCGGTTTCTTCATCCGTTTACCCTTTTCTGGTATGTAGACATCGGCTATTACCATCCGAACACTCCGGGTCGGCCCAGTACGTTTGGATAGTTGTGTCCATCCACAAATTGGGTAGAACTCGACAAAGTCCTCAAAAGTAGTAATTTTTGAGAAGGCAAACGTATAATGCATTCGAGTTACCTGATTGACTGATTATTTTGTACTGACTGTGTTCTGTAAGCTCCTGTGACCCTTTTGAGGTCCACATCTATGTTAGACAGCACCTGTTAACTTTAATATTTGGTCTAAGTGAATAAAGTGAGGTGTGAACCCTAAAGAGTGTGGCGCTCGTCACCGATTCGAATATGCGCTGTTCACAGAATCTCTGTCGCGTTCGTTCACTGTTGGTTTGCCTTAGACTTGTAGGGATGTGATGAGCGGGAATTTATTTGAGCCTGAATACTATATCTCTCGGACATTTTTTGGCACATTGCTCCCTTTCTCTGACGCGATCTTATGTCTGTGCAAAGAAACTGCCAATGTAAATCTATTTTTACCATCCTCTTACGACCCCTCCCCCGAATACGATCGATATTACCTGTGTTATAGTCTGCGTGAAGCTTTGCCAACTTTTGGAGATATTACTGAATTCGAACGCTATTCAAGGTGGATGTTTAAATTCCTAACAAGCTATGGAACCGTTTACAGATGGCTTGGTGGTTAGAACGCGAATTTACTGATAGGAAGGTCCGTGGTTCGAACCCGACCTCTGCTTCTCGGCTTTCCCTGTCTAGATTTGGGCAAACTGGCAGTATCCCAGCCCTCGTGCTTCTTTCGGGTTACATGGCAGCTAGGCACCGAAAGGACGTTACAGCTAAACGATCATTTTTTTAAAAAAAATCACGCTTTGTTCATTCAAGTTTTGATTTTAAGTTCTACCTTCCTTTTTCGCTCGTATTCTCAGATGTTCGATGCTTTCTCCCAAGAACTTCATCAATGATACCTGCAAGTGAGTCGAATATTTACTCCAGTCATTCTTATATACGCGTTTTGGGCTACTGGAATTATACCAACCTATTGAGTCTCGTTTCAGCCACTTGTGTGATAGACGTTTTGGTTAAACGGTAATAAGGCATTCCTCTCGCTTTCGGTCATTTACTGAAGACATGACAGGTTGAAGACAGTACTAGAAAAACATTCAAGATCACTGATAGGGTAATGGTCATCCTGAGATTATTGCCAAGTTAGACATGCTTTGAGTCAATACATGTTGTCTCAATTTAATCGGCATCGCTTCGCTGTCTGCTAGAATTCGGGACGTTTAAATGCACAACAGAACTTTGTATGACTGACCAAAAGGTAGGTGTACAGTCATCCGCTGGGAATGCATTGCTCTTACTAAATGGGCTTGACCAGGCTACATTCAAATGTCATTTTCTATCGTACATATCGGTTTATTTGAAAATTCCAGATTTACCGACCAGAAAAGTGGTATTTTTGTTGATCATTAGGCAAAAGAACACGCTTCTATGGTTAGCTTTGCCGATAAATTACATATGCTTTTTTCGACTTAATTTCGAATGAACGTTTATCCAGCTGCATGGATGTTCGAGGTTAATCACAACGTTAAGAAGACTGTCCCAATTCCTTTTCTGGTGGAAATAGACTTTTTTTTCGACATTGTGACTTCAATCCTGGTTTCCTTGTGATTTTCTTTCAGTAACGCCGAAAGGAAAGAAGAAAAGTTCTTGTCCACAAGATCCCAATCCCATCCTCTTATCTGAAGGTGTGTTTTTACTTACTTAACCTCCGTCATGTGTAACCGGGCACTGCAGTTAAGCGCTGCCCGTCCGGTCTTCAAACACCCCGTGTCTGGGTTTCCTTCCATCGGTGCTCCACCATTCACCGAACCCTGTGCTTCCGTTAGTCGGCCACTGTCGTGTAGGCTGAAAGCCAGTAGTAGGTTATCTAAGTTGCTTAACATACAAAATTGTATCATACTAGACTACGGTCCATCATGCGNTCCACCATTCACCGAACCCTGTGCGTCCGTTAGTCGGCCACTGTCGTGTAGGCTGAAAGCCAGTAGTAGGTTATCTAAGTTGCTTAACATACAAAATTGTATCATACTAGACTACGGTCCATCATGCGCGTCTCTTCGTTTTTCTTCATCGCATGCCTCCTTGTCATGCTACCCAACTTCGGTTTTGCATCTAACTTCAGATCACCGCAAGACTTACGGTGCTCCGATTACCAAGCTTGGTAGATAAATGAAAATCTAACTGACAACTTTGGACCACCAATATTTTGCAACTACGTGCGACCGATGCACGAACTTCTGATGTAACGAGAAGGCTGTTGAAAAATGCCTGGTGTGCTTAGACCTCTCTTGTTCGCTACTTTTCTGGGACCTACCGACGTTATCTAATAGTACCATCATATTTAATAAGCATCTGTGGCTAGCACGCAAATAGGTTGTCCTTGCTAAACGGGACTTAATAAGGGGCTACAATTTTCCGGCCGATAATATATCTATGTAAATTCCTTGTAACCTTCTCGGACATGCTCGTTCTTGAGAAATACGTGACAAAGTCCCAAAGGAGAAAGTTCGGGAGGACCTTATTCCCTTGTCTGACAGAATACAAGCAAATCGTTCCTACAGCGCGTACTTTGACCGTTACTCTGCACGACAAAAAAGATATAAGGGAACAGCCTCAGTAAAGAATCACCTGCTTCTCTCATTAGTAAGATAAAATAGGTTTGTGCTTGGTGTCCATAAGTGTCGGATGTGCTGAATCTCATTTGTTCTATGTTCGGTACTGTATGGTTACCGTTCTCCAAACCCGAAAATCCTATCATATAGTAAGTTGATCCAAAAACAAGGGACGATTGTCTAGACTGATCTTACATAGTTTTTATTTCACCCACACTGCTCGCCTCCGGATTTGCTGCATACGTAAGCTAATCCGGCTACGGACGTGAACCTGTCGCTGACCGGTCATCATTATTGTCCATAGCACAACCGTGATTTATTCAAAAGCCTTATTGTGAGGAAAAGAATAACAGTGGATAGAGAACGGACTTAGTGCTAGCCTAACACGATTATTTCGAGATGCCTGCACCACCGGATACTCATTCAGACCCTCTTGGCAGAAACTGACAACAACAATATCATTAACATCAATTACCGACCATATCTTGCAGCGTCCGCAACCAGGCGCAGTACGGATCAGTGAGCCCCCTCCTAGAAGGTGGGTCGCACAGATAGTATCAAAACTTTTCTTAAGCACTATGCCTCTCTGCTAGGTCAAAGTTGGCTACCTCTCTGCTTTTGCCACTCCGAGTCGGGCTCGGAAAACAGCAATCTTTCTGCCAGCGACTATTTGGTATGCGTAATACATGGCCTAACCACCACAACTTGTGGCGCTGATCGGCCATTCAGTTCTGGTCGTTTGCTTCTAGGAAAATGTCCACAGGCTATCAAAATTTGAGACAATGGAGCGTGGATAGCTGGACGAACTAACTTACAGTATTTGACAGTCTGTCGGACATTCTGAAGCCCAATTTGAGTTTCGAGATCAACACCTGCGTGACGCTCGATTTACACCACTTCACGAGGTCTACCTTTCCTTCCTCGATGTACTTTGCAAGCAGGGCATCAAACTAGGTTGCTATTTTCAAAAATCTATTCAAGCTGAGAATTGTGTTTTTCTTTTTTTATCAGCAAAGGAATCCTCCCTAAGAAGCCTAGCGTACGGAAAGGAGAGTTTCAGGACTGAGGCTATTCTCTTTTCAGAGGAGTACGTTTTAACGTTATCTATGTTGACGCCATCGCAAGCCTCACGACGATATAAAAGGCACAACCACTTGGTAGGTAGCCACGTTGTCCGACAGTGACGGTAAAAGCAACACAAAGTTAGTAAAGATATACTCAGGATAACAAAGTCGGTGAGTTTGGCTACCTTTCAGGTAGACTAAAATTCCCCGGGGCAATGCTCACCAAGGTCGACGTGGAGTCTCTTCGAGCACAGTCTTACTTAAATGAACATGATACCTTAAACTGGATAGGCTATTCACAACAGTATCACGTTCTCTTTCGCAACCTTTTATCTTCTTTTGGTGCTTGTCTGTTGCCTTTTCTTTCTCATTTCACAGCATGACTGGAACGCCACGTCACGCCCTTGCACACTGATGGTGTTACAACAACGTTTAGTGATAAATTTCCCGTCCATTTCTGGTTCACATTTTATCAATACTGGCTTCTGTAGCTAATCGGAAAGCCCTTGTTGTTTCCAGTGGTTCTGTAGGCTAGCTAGAGCGAAGGTCTAATCTTCTTCGGACATTTTTCTTCTGCTCAACTGCCATCTTCACAGGATCATTTTTTCTTTCTATCTTCAAGTTGCCATACAAACCGCTGTGTCCATGCCTCCGGATTTCGATTTTGAAGGTGTATTGCGGTCTGCCTTGAAGGACGTCAATTTGAATCAATGTACTTCACCATCCAAGCCAAATGAAAGTTTATCAGAACAGGACTACGGTACAAGATCATCTGTGCAGCCGTCTCTATCGGCTTGCACGGTCCAGCGTCCAACTGATGATGATTCAAATAGCCAGTTTTTCCTGTGTTCATCCTGTCGGAAACCCCATAAAATATCGCAACACTATAGTCGACGCAGTTTGTTTTCAGAGTCCTCGATTCCGGACGATAGTAGGTATGTCGAATTTTACTGCATTTCACTGTAAATCCTTGAGCGTCTTTGTAAGTGGGAGTTGATCTGTGGCTAAAAATAGTTTGAACTCGGCTGTACACCCTCTACTTAGGCATGCGCACATAGTAGACATAGGGCGAGATGGCTCAAGTGGTTAGAGTGTGAATTTACTGACCGTACGGTCCGTGGTTCGAACCCGACCTCTGCCTCTCGACTTCCCCTGTCTAGGCTTGGGCAGCCTGGCAGTATCCTAGCCCTCATGCTTCCTTTGGATAGCATGGCAGCTAGGCACCGGAAGGGTGTTACAGCTGAATGATTTTTTTTAATAGTGGACATAAACAAAACGCTACATCATTTCATGGGGTAGATCCCTACCTGAATCGTTTTTTCTTCAGAATTCGAACCGTCTATCCAACAGATTTATCGGTAACTTTCGTGTTGGACAACTACACTTGAACTGATGTGAAAATAACCGGTCAGGTTTCCTGGTTTGTATGGTTTCCTTTTGAACCATTAGGGCGGATGAGCACAAATAAGCCAACTGTTTAGCTATGCTGCATCGAATGGTAAGCTATTCCCAACAGATCCCTTCTCTTCATCGGGATATGATGCTGTTGACCATAGAATGATTGATGATGTATATGATGAGATGTGGCGGTGCCCCCAGGACGTGTTGCATTCTTCTGGATCTTCCAAATTGTGTCACATAGCTCCGGGGACGAAGCAACGACATGTCTAGAATTACCTCATCATGAGGAGGTTTTTCCTGCAACAAGGTCAGCAGATTGGTGTACGAAGTATATGATGGTTGCCGACAGCCATGCATCCCGGGCCGCAACTAGAGAAACTTCGTGCCCACATTCCCACGTTACTTCATTATTGGGAGCCAATCGCGTTGCCGATCATACTTCGTTGGTGCCTGAGATATTCTCTTATCTGATTCGTCCTCCGCGAGAAATTCATTGTAAGTTGACTGCCTGATATCCGAAACGATTTTCTCCTCAACATTGGCTGATTCATTAGACACCAGCGCACTGACCAAACCACAGTTTACGCGTAACCGAATGTGGTGCTACTCGCGAGCTGCAAACCCGAGGGAAGAAGGTCGGAAAGCAAACACGCAGAGGCCTATTGAGAACTCACAATCATCCTATTCTTGACAACCAAAAGACAGGAAGCAAAGTGTTCACCAGAAAGAGACCATGGGTTTCTAAATAGCCATTATCGTTTTCATGGTATAAGACACGTTTTCACGTTTGCTGGTTCTCATTGAGACTGCACCAGCTAAAACAAACGCCCGTTCATAACGAATTAGGTGACGGAAGTTGGCGACCGTTTAACAGGTTCGTAACGTTGTGCTAGTGCGCGTGAAGAGTTGAATATCTGAGGCACTCACTCAAGACGAAATGGAAAGTTCTGTCCCATCTTCAGACAGGCCACTGAAAACATTAGGCTTCAAACAGCTGTAAGGAAACAGTTAAGGAAGCATTTTTGAATCTCATGAAAGTGTTTCCGCGAGTATGGAGCGTCGCATCGCTATTTTTATTACGTGGGATGGTTTATGCCACACAGAACTCGAGGCCCGCGGACTCACAGTGCTCTTCGAAACAACCAGCGACTTTCTTTTGAAGCGTTCGACGGATTGTTACTTTGTCTTCTACCCATATGTTGTTGGACGAGACTTGATACCGCACTCCTATACGTCAGTACATATCACTGAGTTCGGTCCCTGGAACGATGATCGCGTAGCTCAATGAGCCAAAATGAATCTTATCACGGTCTCTCTTCTAACGCAAGTCTCTAATGCAAACCACCTTCATTTTAGACTTAGGTTCTACACGTTTACACAGGTCGTCAGTGTAGACACTGATGATACAGGAGTCCTTAGAGCTAGCTAGTATACTTAGGACAGGGCCGCAAATGTGGCTCGTGAAATCTCGAATAGTTAAGGGGCTTCTTCAAGTTCGCTAAAAATAAATACGTGACAGCAATGATGACAGAAGCAAGGCTTGAGTGGGGAGTCAAAATCGTAGTGTAAACTAGTCTTATATCACGTCGAGTATGACTGGACTGTATAATAGAACTAACCAGTTCAGTTCCTCTAATCTTTGTTTTTCCAATCAAGATAATCCTCATTAAAGATAAATCAAGTTCCTTCCATCCTTAGGAGGATGGGTGATTTTCGTTGAGGGGTTGTCATCATCATCGTCATCATCAAAGACAGCAACATCATTGTTGCCACTGATGCTTCACTGCCGTAAAACCGTAAGGTTTGTCTAGTTATATATATATATATATATATATATATATATATATATATTAAAAGCCCTACA